TCTGGACAATCTTTGGAATCTGATCGATGAGATTCGTTGGGGCAGTGGACGCATTTTGGATCCTCATTAATGCGAGGACAAGGTGTTGAAGTGGAGTGAGAGTGTTGTTCAGAACAATGGACGCAACGTTCACTAGAACGGCACTGAGAAGCAATGTGTCCGTAACGTAAGCATTTAAGGCACATTCGCACTTGTTGTGTATATGGGGAAACCGTAGATGAGGCTTTATATAGCGCAACTTTGTCAGGTAATTCAGTACCATTAAATGTAACGAGAACTGAGAGGGATTCTTTATATTCGAAAGAACCAGTTTCACTGTTTCTGAATTTTTTATTGAGTCGTCTAACATCTGCTACAGATGTTTTTCCTCTCATGTGTCCTAGAACTTCTAGGTTTTGTTTAATTTCGTCGTTTGATACATTTACCGGCACATCACGAATTACTCCTTGGCATCTGCAAAAGTTAGCTGGAATAAAGGCTAAATAGCCCTTATTCTTTACTTGATCATCATTTAGTAGATTGTTAGCATCAACGGCCGATTTCATGAGTATGCACAGTTTGCCAATACCATTAGATTTAATATCCACAACAGCTTTGTTGTGAATTGAGTCTCTTGCGTGTAAAAGACGTCCAAATGAAACTTTGTTCAATCGGTCACCTTCGTTTGAATTTTTTCTTTGAGGGTCAAGTTGAACTATGACCTTACAGTGGCCTTTTTCAGTCAAAGGGTATCTAAAGGACGTGTTAGGACCCTGTTTTTTTGTTCGATCTGTGGGACCACCAGGTGAGACAGTAGAGCCATCTGTCACAGCGTCGGGAAATTTATTCTTATCTTCTGTGTTCGTTTTAAGTTTTTTGGAACCCTTTTGAAACTCCATTAAAAGGCTTGCTGCGTTTTCGGTGTCCATATCTTCCTCGATCATGTCACTGTTGTGGGCAGATGGAATCTGCCCTGTAGAGGCGTCGTGTACTGACGACATGTTTCTACGAAAAACTTGATTGCGAGCCAAGCGCGCACATGCGCGCCGGCGTTCTGCCTCTTGTGAGGCGTGATTCACTATAGGAAGAAACTAACAATTGTTTTCTTTATGAAATATTTCACTAATAGTACAACCACTAATTGTTACGTAAACTCGATTTCAGAAAAAAGCGGAAAAAACGCGGAATCAGACTCGGAAAAACGTAATTGAAACACGAAAAACTCAAAAAGAAAAGGAGCGGACTCCACGCGATCACGCACCTTCCGCCATCTTTTCGTATTCATAGTCCCGACTTAAGCAAGGACTTAAGCTTTGCTTGATCAAGTCGGTCTTATTCGAATGAGTCGAGCTTAAGACCGTATGTATTCATAGTCAAAAATAAGCAATTGCTTGGTAAAGGAAATGCAGCTTAAGAACTTCTTGACCAAGCAAATGCTTAAGATGATCTTATTGAGCGTTCGGCTTTTTCCGTCAATATTCTCTTGTATCTACCAATAAGCGATAGTAGATAGCTTATATTCATTAGAAAAAATGACGCTAATGCACATAAAATATCTGATAAGGGAGAGGAGGGGGGGTCAAAAAAACTGAAAAATATGCATATTTTAATATTTTTAGGATAAAAGTTATAAAGTAAAAGGATACAAGAAATGACTACCAGAATGATGAAAATTGAAATATTCTTATTCCTCACGAAATATTATATTTAGATTCTAAATTTTTCTGTATTAAAAAATAGAAAAAATTATTTTAACTATTATCATATTGTTTCTAAAAAAAATTATTGAGTCAGAATCAGTGAAATTTTACAAAAAATAAGGAGTATTTTTATAATCGAAATGAAAAAAAGCATTTTTATTTGGCCATTGTCTCTAACAAACAAACGACAGAAAAAATTTTGTTTAAAAAAAGTTATTGTAAAATGAATTTTTTTGCAACTTTTTATAAAAAAATCTTATTTTTCCTAAAACAATGAACCATGAGTGCATATAAAAGGGGTAAAACAATTAACTTTCATTTGGAACTACAAAATTTTTAAAAATAGTATTTTTTAATAATTATTTAATATTAACAGTTTTATTTCCTCATAGGGTGTCGATTTTCTTAGAATCAATTATTTTTACAAATTTTCAAGTATAGCGTATATAAATATTTCAACATGGGGAACAAATTCTCCGGATGTATGTGTGTGGATGCACATCGAAATGTTTTTTCAACATTTCGATGAAAAAAAATACTTTTTATTTCTCGTGAAAATTTTATAAATTTTGAACCTTTTTTCTAAATTATTAAATTTTAATTATTATTAAATTGTTTTTAACAAAAAATCTTTTCATTTTTATTATAAATATTTATAAAAAGACAATAAGTAATTGCTTAAGTCATGTAAAACGTTGACTTAAAATCATAACCTCAATTCGTTCAAATAAGTTCACCGGCAATGTCAAATAAGATCATCTTATTTGACTATGAATACTTGTCATTCTTAAGATGGGACTACCCAGTAAACGAAAACAAATTGAAATGAATTAAAAAGAATTCACAAAGAGCTTTCGTGAATCCCGCTTTGTGACAAATACGAATTGGAGCCATGATGCAATTTTCCCGAATTCGTGAAACTGTATTGAACTTCCGAACCTTCTATCCGTACCAATTCACTGGACAAGTTTTGAGCCTTTAATTTTTTTCAATTCCTTAGCACGAATTCAATGCATTCCTTGGCCATTTCTTTCGAATGCGAATTCGTTTGGACAAATTGGTACATATTGAATTAAATTCAATTGAATATACAAAGAGCTTAAGTGAATCCCGCTTTGTGACAAATACGAATTGGAGCCTACCAAAAATGTTAATTCGTTTCAATTCATTTGAATTAGTTTTTTTTTACTGGGTATGCATCTCAAAATCGAAGCATTTACTTTGTCAAGCATATGCTTAAGTTGCGGCTTAAGGCAATGCTTATTGCACGACTATGAATCTAGGTGGCAGCTTAAGTCGCTGCTTAAGAAATAAGTATCGACTATGAATACCGCCCATAGTGTCTTTTTAATCAGTTTTTCTCGGCCACTGAGGCTCAAAATACTGATATTTCTGTAGATAGGACCGCTGTTTTGTAGATAGTGACTTTCTTCGTCAGTATTTCACCAAAATCGATGTAGATAGGCCAATTAAGCATTAATTATCTCCAAAACTAATTAATATTTTTAATTATGGATTGCACAGTTAAATTCTAATTTTTATTACGAATTCAACCGTATAAAAACTCATTTTTCGTCAAAAATGTAGGTAGTGACTTTCTTCGTCAGTACGGCAGCAGTTCTAGAATTAATAAATTAAAATTTCAAAAAAAAAATTTTTTTTTGTTTATTTTTCGTGAACGGTCTTGTTTTTTGACAAAGTACTTGCCTAATGACAAATAAATAATTTTTAAATAAATAAACCTAAAAAACGAAAAATTTAAAAAAACATTTTTAACATGTAAAAATACATTTAACATTTCGCCCCAGGGTGCATTTTTGGCTTTAACAACAAATATGAAAAATCTGACTAAAGATATTTAGCAAATACCTTTAGGTATCTCTTCAGGGGACTCAAATAAGGACCTGAAAAAATCGCGATGAGAATAAATTCAAAAAATATACTCAAAAGTTGATATTTTCTTTTACGAAAAAATTTTCAAAAGTAGGGTGAAAACAAAGTTTAAATATGGATACCACAAAAATGAACAGAATGTCACATAACTCCGGACATTTATTTAAAGTGAAACACCCTTCTATAATTAAAGATGCAATGCTCTAACTATATTTCCGTTCGAAAGATAATGAATTTTAACTGTTTTCACAGTTTAACCTTTCGCTCCAGTCTCCCCTAAATTTAATTTTAAATTCTTTCTATTTCTAACAATAATTAAACAAAATATAATTTTAATTAAAGTCGTCGAAAAAATTTGAAAGAGAAAAAATTTCACATTCTATAAAATAGTGAAAAATAAATCAATTTATAAATTTTTTTTGCAATAATATTATCACAAAACAAATTTGAATTAGTAAAAATTTGAACTAATTAGAACAAAAAAATACGAAATTTATAAAAATTAATTTTTAAATAATAAATAAAGTAAATAAAAAATAAATAAAATTTCTTTTCTTAGAAAATTTTTTCATAAAAAACCGCGTATTTTGTATTAATATCAATTCGTTTTTTACAATTATTCATAAGCAACTATTTCTATATTTTAGAATGTTAAATTAATATTACTGATATAAATATAAATTGAATTTTAAAAAGTTTCAAGTTGAAGTTTTAAAAAAGTTGAATTGTAAAAGATTTTTAATTAAAAATTCTGAATAAGTTAGTTTTTTGAAACAGTTTTATTCACATTTCTTTTCAAATTAGTTATATTTTTAAATATATAATATTTAACTGGAAAACTTTCAAATTATTCAAAATTTCATGAAATTGTCTTGTAAACAAGTGGATTTTAGAAATATTTTAGTTAAAATTTTTAAAAAATAATTGATTTGAAATTTTGAAAATAATTTTTAATTTAAGTTACAGTATTGCAATTCTTAAAAATTATTTGATTTTAAAGGATTTGAAATCATAATTTTTTTTTGAAATCTTAATAGGGAAAAATAATGGATAATAATTAAATATAATTATTTCAAAAAATCTATTTAAGTTCCAAATGGTTTTACAATTACAGATATTCAAAAAAATGTATTATGAACATAATTTGGAGTTTCAATTATTTTTAGAGTAAACTAAAATATTTTTTGGGAAAAAATTAAATAAAATCAAGTTTTTGTGGCAACCTTCCATATTCATATTTCATGTTGATTAATAAACTACCAGTATTTAAAAAATAAAAAAAATTTTTTTTTATGAAAAAAGTGGCCACCCTGTAATCTACATTAAGATAAACAGATGAACAACTAGATAACATTGTTAACATTCTGATCACAATAATTAAATTAAATTAACAATAAAATACATTCAGATTCTTCTCCTTCATTTCAGGCGGCTAAAGAGAAGCTGTAGCGAACAGCAACTACCAAGTATTTCCAAATTTTGGCAACTGAGAAACGATTCGAGTGGCGTTGTTGGTGCTTTGTGTGCAAATTATAATTCTCCTTGTCTTTCATCCTCTCTACCCAACATGACAATGCAAAGGAGACTTTTATTGTCATCAAAAAAAAGAGAGGAGGTACAATTTCGCAAATCAGTTGCAGACTGTTATTGCAATCGTCAAACTCGTAAAATGCAATTTAGATCAAATAGAACAAAAGTCGCTAAGCCAACAGCATGTAAACACTGCAAAAGTTTTACAGATTTAAGACCAATGGCTTGGGTCGAAAGTAACGATAGTCAGTCACGTGCAATACTAACTCCCATCAGTTGTGAAACAGTAAGAAGAGTTCGTAAAATAAATTACTCCCCTCAATCTGAATTTCTCCAAAAAAAAGTTTCATCCACGCAAAATCTTTTCGATGATAAATTACAAGCACTACCAAAATATGTTTCTCCATCTTTAGAAGCTGGCGATGCAGCACAAAATCATTCCAAACCAATACACTCGTTTTGTAGAAATATTCAATCAGAATCAAATAACGAAATCAATTTTCATAATTCAATAGATGTTTGTAAAAAATCTCATTCACATCAAAGCGAAGAATCAGAAATTAATTCCAAGAAATCTTTGAGAGAAAAATTAATAAAACGAACAATATCATCTAAAAAAACTTTATGCACTTCAGAAAGTGTGCAATTACAAAAAACAAAAAATTGCAACTTCACTTCGAAAGATCGTAACCAATCCTCTCAATCTAACATTAAGAATTGGAATCATGAAAAATTCGACTATGATAACTTTAGCGAATGTAATTTCTACTTGAAACATAGAAATGCATTTTCTGATAAAGTAAGTCAAGATAAATTAATCAACCATCGAGAAAATCCACTATCAAAAGTATATAAATTTCGTGAGCAAAATTATTTCGATACTCATGGTTCAACACACACACTTTTGTCATCAGGATCATCGGGTTCATTGGAAAAGTACATACTGAATGAAAGATTATTTCCACAACCGGTTGGCAAAGTTCATCGAGGTGACCTTGTAGTCACAATGCCATCATGTTCAGCAATGGAAAATAAAAAAATACACTATTTTCCTCGATTTATTGTTAAACAGGAAAGAAATCAGTCAATGAATGCAAAAAAGAAGTACACTTGTCCTTTAACTGGGCATCTTACTAATGTGAAAACAATAAAAACTCAACATCCGTCAAATAGTTTGGCACTCAAATTTCAAAAAGGAGTAATCTGAATAAATTGATAATCATTTTATGTACGTGCTATCAATTGGGATAAATACCCAGCAGTAAATCGAAGTAATTAACATTATATTATTTTATAAACCTCTATATGGGCAATTCCGCGTGAAATTTTTCTATGACATTTTAAAATCGGTTGAACATATTTTTTTTCTTTTTCTTTATAGAAAAACTAGCAAATGTAAAATTTATTATTATTATGCAAATTACAAAATTTGTTATTTTCAAATATGAATTTTTGAATAATTTTAGATTCAAACTTTAAAAAAATTCAATTATTAACTACTTTACTAATTAATTGTTCTTGTTTATTAATTTCAAAAAATTTAATAAAATTCTTTGCAAGAATTCAATTATTTTCATAAATAATAACATTCTTTGTAAGAATTCAATTATTTTTAAACAAAATTTTAATAACATTTCCCGAAAGAATACAATTGTATTCTTTTGGGAAATGTTATTAAAATTTTGATTTTTAGATTTTTTTAATCTAAAAATAATATAAAATTTTAACAAATCCTTCGAAACAATTCAATTATTTTTTTAAATAGTTTAAATCTTTGCAAAAAAAATGTGACGAAGGGGGGGGGGGGCAAGGGATAAAAATCAGTCTGAAAAAGCGTGACGTAGTTTGTGAATGACCCCTAAAAAATTTCAAAAGAATTCAATTATTTTCTAAAATTTTAATAAATCCTTCCAAACAATTCAATTTTATTTATAAATAGTAAAATTCTTTGCAAAAATTCAAATTTATATTTAAAACAATTTCACGGAAGAATTGAATTTTTTTTAATTCGTCATAAAATTTATCAAAAGAACTTCATTATTTTCTAAAATTTTAATAAAATTCAATAATTAAATGTTTAATTTTAATTATTAACAAACACGATTATTTCAAAAACTTGGAAGAAATTGTTCATAAAATTTAATTACCTATTTTAAAAATTTTTAATTAAAATTTTTAAAGAAGCTTCATTACTTTAAAAAAATTAAAAGAAATTCTTCAAAAAGAATTTAATTAGAATATTATCAAAAATTTTAACATAATTCTTCACGAAAAATATTTTCCTAAATAATAAAATTCTTCAAAAAAATTCAATTATATTTGTAAATAGTAAAATTCCTTGCAAAACTTCAAGTATTTTTAATAGAATTTTAATAAAATTTCATAAAAAAATTCAATTTTAAAAATATTTTTCGAAAAAATTGAATTATCTTCTAAAATTTTAACAAATTCTTCAAAAAAAAAATTGAATAATTTTTATTACACTGTGTGATAGTAAAATAGCACTTTAAATCGGACCTATCCTAACTTGTTCATCTTGAAAAACTGAAAAAAGTAGTATGTTTGAAATTTCCCAAACACCCCCAAAATTTAATTTTAGGGGCAAAAAACCGTTTTTTGTGTATTCATAGTAAAGAATTACTCATAACTTCCGTAATTTTCAACAGATTTTAAAAATTGTTCTTTTGTTTGAAAGGGGAAAAGCACACCTTTTTAACCCTGTATTGCTCGTTTAGTCAAAATAAAAATTGACAAAACCGCGGTTGAAAATATTTGCGATTTATCAATTTTCATTCCATTTTTCAACTTTAACGAGGTTTTTAGAATAGTATTCGAATTTAAAGTTTTTTTTCATAATAAGTTTTTAAAAGTATACTTAATTCTGCGTAAAATGAGCATTTTTTGAAAAAATCTATTGTATATTATCAAAATTAATAAAATTGTTCAGTATTGCGAAAAAAGCATATGAAAAGTTCGACAATAAAAAATAATAAAAAAATGTGGTAGAAGTTCAAATTTATATTTTACAAAATTTTAAAGCATTCTTATATAAATTGTCAAATAATTATCTGTTATTCTTTATTTGAAGATTATAGAATAGATTTGAATCCTCAATAATGTTTGAAAAACATTGACACACTCAAACAATATAAATATAGAAAAGTTAAAATTTAACCGGACCCCCCCCTCAAATACGGACTCAGTCTTTATTTAAATCTATCAAAAACAAGTTTGACATGTTTTAGTTAATCAATTAAATTTAGTGAAAACAAAATTTATAAAGTGCCCTGATGCACGGAGAGAGATTCTGTTTTAATATTTCGTATTAATATTTCTATTTTAATATAATAATATTAGTATTTAGTAAAACCGATTGCAATTTGGGGAAATCATGTACATTTATGAATTAATATTACCATTTTTAAGAAAGTTTATAATCAAATTATTACTTTGTATTATTCTGAAGTAATAGAAATTGAAATAGTCAATAAGAAATTTTAATATTATAAGCAAGAAAGTATGCAATAGTAAAAAGTATTACCAGATGATTGTACTAAATACTATCGAAGAATTACATAAATTGTTAAATTTAGTAATGAATAGTATTATCGACTATAATAAAAATTATGACCAGCCTAGTAGCAGGCCATAGCAGGCTATGGGCTGTCCGAGATTAGCCGAATATTTCAGTCGAGCAGTTCCGAAATTATCCGAGTCAAACCTCGTGGCAACATCTGCACGTTGTGTTTACCCCAAAACATTTTAATTTGATGTGTCAAAATGTGTCGGAATTGGGTGAACAATTTTATTTTGTTCATTCAATAATTTTAATCGACAATGAAGATTTCCTAATTGTAGTAAAAGGCATAGTCCATTGTCTTTTAAATGAGCATTTGAGAGCATTCAAAATTTACACGGAAAAAAATTAGTCTCTAAATTAGAGATTTAATATATGAGATTTAGGCATAAACTATCACTGGAATCGGATGTGTGATTTGAACAGATCTGTAACACTGAAATTTAGAGTTATATCTAATCCGCATATTAGCAGTGTGAAGAATTCGTATTTTTATGCCTAAAAATGATATAAGAAATCTCAAATTTTATGACATAGAACATATAGTTCTAAAATATCAACTTATTTCAATAAACTGAAATCTAATATATTATTCGAATAAACTATTAAAGATTTTAGTTGCATATTTATATAATTGAGGAGCCGGGAAGAAGAACTCGCCGAGCGCGCCAACGTATTCTCTAATATCAGTCGGGGAGCAGTGAGCGCCTCTGGGCCTGTCACTGCTACCCGACTGATATTAACGCATGCGTTGGAGCGCTCGGCGAGTTCTTCTTCCCGGCTCCTCAATTCGTATTTTTTGTAATAACTCGATGTAATACAAAATTAATTTATCACAATTTAGACTGAGAATTATTCAAAGAATGTATATTTTTCTTTTAGTATGAACTTATAAACAAATCCATTGACAATCATAAAAAATTGGACATTTTTTAAACACAATATGAATTTTTTAATATTTCTTTTTTTTTATTTGAATCAAATTATCTCAACATCACACAATATAAACATTCTTTTTCTATTTCTTAATAAAAAAACATGTTTTAGTACAACTTTCAATATAGGTTAGGATTTCAAGTGTCAAAAGAAAGTTTAACCTGAAAATACTAATAAATTCGGATCTTTTTTTTTCAAAAGCAGAGAAAGTATTCGTTTATTTTCCCCACGTGATAACGCGAAAAACATTCGTAAAATATGAAAAGTGAAAACTGGGAATGAAACTGCATTGAAAATATAAAATTAATACTTAATTAATTAAAATGTGTAAGGAACGGGGTCCAACAGTATAATCGTCACAGGGCCTAGCGAAGAGTAGGGAGAAGTTGTAGACGACGATGAAATTGTCGATTCATGTCGAAAATGAGTGGTCGAGGGACCAGAGCGTGCGAAGCATGCGAAATAACTTATCAATTGTGTATAAAGTAAAATTATAAAAACGTGTCAAGTGTTCTGGACGAGACGCTAAGCACAACGCCCGATTGGGCGTTTGGTGAATATCTATAAATCATCCGTGTTTTCGTCGATGAGCCTGCACAATTTATACTCACCGTAAAGAATCATTTCGATAGAAATTGTCAACTAAATCTGATATACCGGAGAAGCGTCTACATTGATCAATCTTCCGATTTAGATATTGGTCTTTAAATATATGTCTCCGTTGGAATCTTTTTGGATTTGGCCAACCGAAAGTTCCTTGGACACGCTCTCCGATTAAGGAAAAATCAATCAGAATTTTATTATTATTATTTGACTTCCATCATTGGTGGAAAATTGTTATTATATTGACTCTGGTGAGTTTCTTATTTTGTCTAATTATATAGTGATATATTCGTCCAAATCAATTCTTTCGCTCCCTCGATCACACATTCTTTCTGATAATTTGTAAAGTCATTTATGAATCGAATCTTTTATTGTAAATGTAAATTTGTATGTTTTTGAATGAATGTGTATGATTGAAATAGTTGAATGCTTTGTTTGTTTAATATTAATTGTAAAAAAAAGGAAATTACATTATAATAATTTTAAATTAACTTGAAATATAACTAGACTGATTTTCGTCAATGAATCAACGAATGTAATTAAATAATATTGATTTGAGAAAATATAAATCGATTCAATTAATATAATTTTTGAGAAGGTCGTCACATTAATTTCCTAAAAACAATACTTAACAAATAATTTGTTACAATTGAGAAGGTCGTCACATTAATTTCCTAAAAACAATACTTAACAAATAATTTGTTACAAATGGTTTAAATATTCTTTGACACTGATGAACTTAAAACGCAATGTAAATGATGCATTTTCTTATGCCAATAAATTAAATGATGGGTTTTTTAATATAACGAAAAATTGGATATAATTTCAATAGAAATCATTTTCCAGAAACATACAATTTTAAAAACAGTATTATGATAAACATTTATAAATAAAATTTTAACCCAGCATACAAAAGTATGTATTTATAATGTAAAATAAATTAAGAATTTTTTTAAACAAAATATGGAGAAAATATCACTTTCTCACAAGTTCAGAAAATTTCTCGAGTTTAGTATATAGGGTAAGTGTGGGTATTCCTGCGAGTGACACAATTATTGCGATTTTTAAAAAATTATTATTTTCATTTTGAAATACACGCCTAATTTTTTCA